AAAACTAGAACATGAAGATCTAAGAAGGCTTCCTGAGGTTATATTCGAAATCGATATGTCTTTACCACAGATTACTAAAGCTGCCATTTTTTAAGGATAGAAGATCAATTGTAGAAGTATCAAAAATCATTTTGAAAGTGACATGTAATATACTTGATGCATAAAATGTTAAAAAGGTGAATATTGTCAAACTTTTGTTTTTTTATTCTTGTAAGAACTATTGACTAAACTGATACAGACTTTATACATCAGATAGACTCTAATGAGATATGGAAACTTCCCGAAATAATAAGTGTCCTTATGTTTTCCCACCAATGTTATAATCATCTTAATAAAATTCCAGTGAATGGAACTGTATATATCGACCTGAAACTGTGAATACAATTTTCTGAAAATATGAGTTCGAAACAATCTACTTCTCATAAGGTTCTAGGTGCAATTTCAGATCGGTATACCACTATTTGATTCGTTGGTATATACTTTTCAATTAACTGGAATGTTAGTAAAATGATTGTAATGTTGGTAGGAATGCATGAGGGCGCTTATTCTTTATCGGATTTTTCATATCTCACTAGAGGGTGTGGATGAAGAGAAGATCCACACCTACCTCACATGACTCGTGTCTTAAGCTGCACCCAGTGACACGTTTGATGTATTGAATATGATAATTAGTGGAGTAATCTATAATCATAATCTTAGGCTAAACCTTTTCTTTTTATATAATCAGCTCAATACTTTCCTTGCAGTAACTTTCTCTAAATTATTTCAGAAAATTTTTTCGCAAAGTGACAAGAGAGATTCTCTTCTTCGATTAAGTGAATAATATTCAATCAACTGTCTTGATTGAGTATGCCTTCCACTCTATAATAAAATCCGGGTATTATTAGTATTTCATCTTCGTAGCCACACCAAAACTGATTTCGAAGGTATTTTGCATTGAAAAATTCAATCATGAATAGTGTATACTCACCTATGGCATCACAGAATTCCGTTGCAGTAATAAGGAGCATGTCTAATGAAGTCATTGAAAATCCCTATCATACACCTGTTTCACGCCTCTATATACAGTTATTCGAAGCGATTCCAGCTTATATAAAGCAGTCATAAATAATTTTAAATATGGAAAAAAAATTTTCTTAACCGATCTCTGTGATTTGAACGCAAATCTGCATTTAACAAGTGATAAAGAAAATTTTGAATGGCAGTTGATTCATCTGGAGTCAAATTGTATTTCGTTATCCGCACGTACTTTCCTATATTCGGTATGATATGATTCAATAGTTCAAGGACTTGTTCCAATGGCAGTAGAGGTATATGTTGATATTCTCTAATCGGAGCTGAGAAACAATGTGGCTCGTCAACGATATCTACGATTCTTGTCCTAGGGTGTGGATCTCTGCGGATGAAGAGAGGAACCTTACGATTATATCCACACCTACTGGTTCCGAATAGACTTTCTGGGAGCCGAAAGTGAAACTGCTTCTTTTTTTGTCTTTCCTAATTGGAAGCGGAACCAGATTCGGCGATTTCAGTTCTAGACACTTTTAGAATCGCTGAACTCTATCATACACACTCACCCACCATTTTATCCATAGGAAGAAGAAATTTCAGGTGTTTGAATAGCTATGGTATATTTGGATAACTGGAAAGATTAAGACCAAATGTGTTGCCGGGCCATGAATACAATTGTGATGATGGAGCTGTGGTTTTGTGGTTGAATAATTTTAACTTTCTTCTGACAAAATCATTGTTCATTCATAATACACCGAATTCAGTAATTCTTTTTGATCTTCTTTCAGAACTGTTTGTTTTTCTTGACAAAAATGTAGCAGTTTCTTTTTCGAATTTGATCAGATCAAGACATGAAGAGTTAGCTGAAACTATGTTGACTTCAGTTGATTCCGCCAATTTCTTATCACATTCATCAAGTAAGATTCTCAGTCGTTCAATATCAGATTGTGTACAATAATTAGGTTTAAATTTCGAGTGAAGTTTATTCGAGAGTTTGTTTAGTAAAAACGTCACTGAGCTATTTTATTCTTACGTGAGTCGTTGTATTGCAACTTGAGTTGTTTTTTCAGTTATTGGTTCAATCTTTGAAAGAGATTCTTTTTTTTTTCGATTGATCAACTTGATTCGAGAGTATTTTTCTCAATCTTTTTTGTTGACCAAAGTTTATTTTAATAATGAAATAGTTTTTTTTTTGATGTCATTCAATTAAGAAGAATATTGCTGGCTAAGATAAATGAAACAATTAATGGAAGTTTTAAGTGACTTTGATCTCTGATGTTAGGTCTAGAATAAAATTAATACTCACTACCGTTCGTGTCTATGGTTATATAATTTATAAATTTCGATGAGGGAGTTGAGACATGACTTTTTCCTTCCTTTTACCTGACGATAAAATGGTCGTTTGTACTGTGAATGATAAGGATGCAAGGAAGCAGAAAAAATCATGCCGAGTGACTTCTTAATGTCTACAGTTACATTTTGACATTTCCTTCCTTTATATCTAATGGAAGGTACTTTAAGAGGATAAGATTATAATTGTTAAAACAACATGTTTTGTCAACGCCAATTTTTATGATTCGTTGATCTGTTGAATATAAATATGACAAAGAATATAACAATCGTTAATGTTAAAAGTTAATAAGTAAAACTTGTTTCAGAATATTGAATAGATTTATAATCAAGCGTGAGTCCCAGGAGAAACGCAAGAAGTTTATTTTTTTAAAATTACAAGCAACTACCATGAGTATATATAAAACTTACATTCTTTCTTCGGATTGCATATTATGACTTTTTGCTCATGTTACATATCAATAGTAAGTTTATGTATTAATTACATTGTTTCATCGAGTAATTGATGAATTAGTGGCATTTTATCTTGCGTTGAATTATTATTTTCCATGAGTCAAAGATTTATTTGTTGATTTGTCTCAATTACTTTTCCTAGTTTTTAATATGGGTGATTGTTTTAGTTTTTATGATGATTTTATTAGTAAGAGCTATTTAAAAAAAAATAGAAACTATCAAATTTTATTCCATAAATAAAGAAATATACAATATAATAAGTTAAATGCATCATCAGCAAGAAGTACTACTATTGTTCTCAAGTTATCAGATCGATTCGTAATTAGTTGAAGAAATCGTTTTCGAAGTTGACGTCAACCAGATGATTTTGTTTGAATTTTTTAAACTTCAAAGGTCAGCTAGAAGACTTAACATTTGATTTTCGACACAATCGATAGATTTTACAATGTCATTATTACTTAGCTGCTTCGTTAAAAAATTTAATGGTTATGAAGACGCTTTTTTTTTGTCGATGGAAGAATTATTAACTTTTTCCTGATCAAAATTTTAGATTGGATGCCACCAACTGTTTGGCCTTGGTTGTATCAGTTCAAATATATATTTGTTTCAATAAATTATTGTATCTAATTTAAATGGTGTTACAATTTTCATTTTATTATCTTGAATAGATAGTACATGAAATAAAAAATTCAATAAATGTCCGATAATCTCACTATTGTACATATTCATTAACAGCTAATATTAATCGACGATTACAACCTATAGCACGTACCATTCCATAAGCTCATGCAAGAATGAATGTTCCAGGTGCTAAATATCAATGATAGCAGGTAGTTAAATTTTCGTTTATGTTATATTCAATATCAGTAGTAATAAGGTCATAAGATGAAGAATAAAATTCATAGAAAGAAAGAAGTGCTTGAATCGAAGGAATAAAACTATCTTCTTCAACGAACTACACAAATGATTGATGATTAGATTGTTTTGAAAAGTAATAAAGTGCTTTATCTCATGCTGATCAAATTTTGCCAGAGCCAAAAAACATTAGCCTGTTCGAAATCATATCTTACACAAATAGCGTCATAGAATTGAAGAAAGTGAAGTGTAGAGGATAATATCGAGGGAATATATCTATAGATGGCATATCTTGTGCTAGTTAAAGAATAAATTCAACCGTTTCTGGAAAAGGTTGTCAAGTGAGACAACAAAGAGTTGATCGTGAATGGGAAGAATAAATAGTGTTTATGATGGCTAATATAATGAAAGATATACTGATCAATTTATAACAAATTCATGTAAAAGTATTCCAATACGTGTGTAAAAGAAATCATTCAGCATCGATGGTATAGAGCAGCTGACCCATATCGATATTATTTATATTTTAGCTGTTGCGCATAGTACAAAACGAGCAATGATAAAGAAAATCGGCACGGTAAAAATCAATAACATGTTAATTAGACTGTTAAGTTAGTTGTATCATAAATATAAGTATCAAAGCTTCAGCAACCAGAAATTTCAATAGAATAACACACATGATAGATCAAGCGTATCAATAATAAAAACTGAACGAATGCATTAATGAAATTCTAGATATTAAGAAAAAAATATGTAAGTGATTATATCTAATGAAAATCATTGCATTTTTATTTTCTTTATTAGAAGAGTAGCAAGAATATTCTCTCATTTCTTTTTTTGATATTCGAGTATTCAGCGTAATAATTTTTCCTAGAACACTCAATGAATTTAAGAAGAAAATAGAAGTTTTGGTTCTTTTAGCTTTTTTTACGTGTTCCTTCAATTGTTGTTATTTTGTTACGATTTCAGTGTGTTTTTTTTTTAATGAATACTTCGATCGAAACAATCGTAGAAAAGAAAAGTAGTTACAGTACGACTATGATTGTTTCTATTTTTGTTTAATTTGATTTAATAATTGAATTGTAGAAAATATTTAGAATAATAGATGATTCATGTTACTCTCGAAACTACTCCTTATTCCATTGTTAATATCTCATAATTTCTAAAAATCAGATTCCGACAAATTTTATATCATGTTTACATGAAGAAGTGCATAATACTCTTGATTATTAGAAGATAAATAGGACAAAAGATTGCAAAGTTATATTATGAATTGTCAAATCATTAACATTAATAATATTCAAATATTAAACTGCTTTCTATGTTTTTAGTTAAATAAAATGGTAATGGTTTGGATCAAGTACACATGGATTAATGATATGATGTTGTACAAATAGACCCATTGTAGTTAAAGCTAATTTTTCTTCTACAGCTGGTCCTCGATTTTGCCAATATTCACCAAATACACCATGAGAATCAGCAGGATTCAACTCAGAAACATTGAAATTCATTCGAGCAATAGCTACAGTTAATCGATGCATATCTTGATCAGCAATTAATACAGGAATAGGACCTTGATAATTATTTCGACTGAATTCATCAACAAAAACTTGATATGTATCTTGTCTTTTATCATTTCGATGGCCTACATCAAAAATAGGTAGAGCAATCACGACAGCACATACATTTTGATAAGTAGGCCCATCTTCTTCAAGTACTTTTCGGATAGCAAGTGCAGAAAGTCCTCTTACTGTTTCATCAATTCCAATAGCTGCACCAGCAAATACACCAAGTCCAATACCTGTTTCAACTACAACCTCCACTTTTTCTATATCACATGCTCGTAATCGAAGTCTTGCCATACGCATTAAATCATTTAGAAGGAGATTTTGGTCTAGTTTTCCTCGTGGACCATTCGTTATTCGACGAAAGTCTCTTTCCCCATAAACTCGTGGCAAATTCGAATTCTGATCAATTTCATAAACATCTTGCCAGTTTTTTACATAAGTACGAATATCATCAACATCATGTATTCGTCCAGCAAAATCAATACCAGTTACTGAAACTAGTCTAATTCGATGTGGCCATTCTTCTTGAGGTGTACGAGATATAATGCGAGCATCGAATTCCATCAAGATAGGACATTGTGAAATACGAACAACAAATTTCATACGAAATGCTTCTTTTCCATATTTACTCTGTCCTCTTAATGCTTGTAGAAGAAAATCTTTGTTCATACCCCTAACAGTTTTGTCAGCATAAACTCTATATGATTGTTGCCAATTGAGAATTTCTTCTACGCTCATCGTAAATGATGTAGTAGCAGTCTTGCTAGGAAAATAAACTATCTTCTTCGGATCCATTGAATTTAGAGATTTGCCTAATTTAAATGCTTTTACACCTTGAACGATATATTCTCCAGAAATATTTTGAAACTGAAACGTACTTGAAAGAAATTTTTCCATTTGAGTGGTTTCCAAATTGCAGTCACCACTCATTGATCCATTTTTATCCATTGGAGGGAGAGACATCAGATACTCGAATAATCTATGCAATTTCGAATTATTTAACTGGCGGGAACCAAAAGAAATACATGGATATGATGGAGACGGTACGTCTGTGGTCGGTGTTGTGAGACGTTCCTGCTTCTTACTGATAGAATAAACATCTTGTGGTAACGTAGGTTGTTCATCTGTTTTGGTAGATTGTTCTTTTGCACTAGCAATACCTTCTGACGATGAATTGATAATTTCATTTTCGTTCATGTTTGTATCATTGATTGCAAACAATAGGAGCAATGACAAGTTTTGCAGTTTTATCTTGATCTCAGATATTCGCTGTAGCTTATTTTGACATTTTTGGAGTAGGCTTTTCCATCGATCAATATCAGCAGTTGTACATTCATCATGGTTTAACTTCGTAGGAAGTTCTTCTGATAGTTTAGTAACTGAATTATTTAGGAGTTTGTGTCGCTTTTCTATCAAGTCTTTTATCTCCATTCGAGCTTGTTCAGCTGCTGCTTGAATCACCACAACAGATTGTTTTTCCCATTGGTTTATTTCAGTCAATAACTTTTGATTAGTTTCATTTTCGTGAACATTTTGTTTTAAATTAATATATTGTTGGTTGATTTCTTCTATCTCTTGAGCGATGTGTTGCCGATTTTGTAATGGGTCCTTTGAGTCCGATGATGATTTCATGTGTGCATATTTAGTATCTAATACGTTCATGTTGCTTCTACTGGAAGTCATTTCTTTTTGTCGGAAATTTGTGGCGATAAAAATTTAATATGCGTGTTTGAAATCGAAATCTTCTAACTTTTTCGGTTATATTTTGTTTGAAAATAATATAATTCAAAAAAAAAGTGTTTGATAAGGATACATAAGAAAGATAAAACTGAAGACCAGAAGTTTTTATGTCTCTAGTCATTCTTTTTCTCCCTTTATTCTTTATTCTGAATAGAAGTCATATATGAAACAAGATAAAAGGTATTTGAAAGTAAAGAACAAATATTCATACCATGCACTATTTCTTATCAATGCCTTTACTTTCTATGTTTTTTTTACATATACGTATTACATATTTGATAGATCCAGGGAAAAATATTCGTTGAATAGAACGACAAAGAAAGTGTTTCATAAAATTAAAGGTCTTCTTTTTAAGAAAACGTCCCAGAATAAGTGGAATCCGTTCCTATTCAAAATGATGAATAATGGATTCCAGTTTTCTACGAAAGCATTTTCATAACAGAATTGCAAAAACACGAAACTTAAATAATCTGGAACTCTGTCTTTCTTATATTCTTCTCTAATCTACTCAGAACCCATTCCTTCTATCTTACATCGCGCTTTTTTCTTCGGACTTATTTTTTTTATTCTCTGCTTTCTTCCCGATTCGAATTCAAGAATCTCTATCTGAAAGGCTAACATGTTATACAGTACATTAATTTGACGATTTAAGTATAAAGTGAAGTTACATACTATATAAATTGAACAAAACAACAGACTGCAAAAAGTTGAGAATATTACATTTTGTACTAGATTTTATTTTAAATGCTTGCTTCAATTTACATTCAACAGATAGACGATTATGACTAAGGTTTTCGTTTAGTCTTTATGAAATAAACATATGTTTTCGATTACGATCGAATTGCGACGTAACTGCGTCACAATTGCTAAAAAAGAGACAGTATTGGATGAGAAGGCGATATACCATGATATAACATTTTCAAAAAAAAAACCCGTCGATATAGTGAATATTATACTCATCGATAAATCGACGGTAGTTTCTTGATAATTATCTCATGGGATGATTCATTTGTAAATTTTTTATTGATACGATTTTTTGTGTGTTTTCATTTCTTTCTTATTTAATTTGATTTTAAATTATAGTATCAAAAATTCTTCAAATCTTTCTGAAACCATTACATTGATTATGACTTGTTTGCAAATGAAGCTGACAGCATTAATTATACTCCGAGAAAAACTCATATTATCAAATTAAGTACAAAATCGAACAAAATTTTGTGAAATACGATCTAAAAGGAGTACTGAAATATGTAGGGTAGGAATTTACACTTAGTTCCTCCGCCTCCCTTTTCCTACAGATTGTGACAAACGTTATTAATATACGATCAAAGATCGTATATCAACAACGTCTCATTGTAATAAATGAACTATTTTTCTATTGTATTTCCGGATGATTAAGTAAAAAAATGATGAAGAAACGTGCCCCAAACTAGGTAGTATAAAACAATTTCTCTGTGATCATTAAGAACAGTTACATCATGTTTCACATTTTAATCCAGCATGAATTATTCTAACAACTTTTTTGGACGCATTTGTTTTTCATATAAAGCTGAATGTTGACGGACAATTTGTATCAAAAAGACAGTCAGTATTTATAGTATATTCAACCAAAAATTTCATTGCTAAATGTTTAGTCATGGTGGAATTGAACATATAACAATTGGACATCGTCAGTTTTTTGTTGAACAAAATATTTTTGGACGATCTTTTAAATTGAGTTATTGTAATAAAATGTAGCTCGTGTTTCGTTTTTTTCCTACAGCAACTCAATTTAAAAGATCATCCGAAAAATTTTTTATATAATTGGAATCAATTATTAAACAATTTGAAAATGTATTTTTGTGTTTTGTATTAAATACAATATAAATTGATTTCTGCTCATCTTGTTTTGTTGTGTAAATTTCCTGAGACTGGTTTTTTTTATATTGTGTTCGTTTAAAAAAAAAATAAATGAATGTGACAATCTCAAGACAACGATCACTTTAAATATAATAGAAACTAAAAGAAAAATGAATCAAGCTTTCATAAACTTTTTTTTTCTCTTCAATGATCAATTCTGTAATAATGCCGTCAAACATGCGTTAACTCTATTAGTAATGACAGTAACGTTGATGATGTGTTATCATTTATGGTCATTAGTATTTCTTGAGGCATATCTCTTTCTTTTTTATATTTTTTTTTTATAGTGATGATGATATTTGCTAAACCCTCGATCATAAAATAAATACAGGATATAAAGAGATATAATTTGACTATCATCTCTTTAAAACATACAATTTTATTGAGCATAAATAATTTGATATCGTATTTTCACAGTATGATGCTTTTCTATTTATCATAAATATAACTGTATATATTTTATATAAATGACGATTAACTCTAAGAATGCTTTAATCATTTAGACACTTGTTTCATTGTTATCATTCTAATATAACAATGATGAGAAATCTATTAACAAAAGAAAATTGAATTAACTAAATAAATGCATTGTTACATATTGCCATAAAAAAGTATGTAAGACAAAAAATTTATTATAAACGAAAAGGAAGAGAATATATATTTTCTATTTTTTTTTATATTATTCGTTTTCGGCTATTCTTCTATATTATTTATCTAAGGAAAGAAAAGCAAGGATTATTATTTTTTTTTTCTGATTGTTTATTCCTCTATTTCTTGCATAGATGAAAACATAACATCGATGTTTTACATTGAAAAAGATATGATAACACAGACAGGCGAAAAAGAAAAGCCTTGGCTCCTGTTAATATAATGTATATTTCTATGATTTTATTGTATGCCTAAGAGAATTACTTGTCATTTTATTTCCTAATCAAACTGACATAAGCAAAGAATCAGATCAAATATTAAAAAACAAATAACTTTTACACAACATAACATTTGTTTATAGATCCAACTGTGTTTCGTTCTTGCAATCGGAGATCAATTGCTGTCGATTTTGAAGATAAATATTAAGCTTATAGAGAATTTTTTTGATATAGACACAATGACATCATCAAGAAACGTTATTATTGCACACGAATGTATATTCATTCAGTGGTAAAGAGTAGAAAATAGAAAGATTTTGGAGTCTCATCGAAGCAAGATAAAGAAATTGTGTTTACTGAGAATGTGCATGTCTTCACAGGGGAAAAGAAAAAGAACGATGACGAAGAAGAGATAAAGCAATAACAACAATTCTATTGTCATTGATGAGAAAAAAAAAAAAAATAGCGAGAGTAACAAGATATAAGTCAGAATATATATATATATATATTTTTCCTTTATTCTTACCAAGAAAATCATTATCATTTTGTTTCCTATAAGATATATATTGTTTGTTGAAAAAAAAGGAAATGGTTTAATCTAATGGATGTACTTGAATTACCTCGTCCTGTTATTAATTTTCTTCGAACAATGGCTAAAGAAAGTTGTCGTTATGTTTTATCATGGGATATATTTGGTGGAACGGATACAGTAACACTAACACTTACATGGAAATTAAATGATAATGAATCTCAAGTATCATTATCATCAAAATTTCCACAACAACAACAAATATGTGAAGATTTATATATTCGTCATAATGATTCGGTATCATTACTACGTCGTCGTTCACGTCGAGAGAATAATACTTCAACATTAAATAGAATTCATTCATCGAGAGGTATAAGTCTTGAAGGAAATGATTTCATATCAACTAAACCGATACATTCTCATCAAAAACAAATATCAAGTTTAGAACGAAAACCAATTACTTATCAACAAAAAGAAGAATCAGAACCAATCTATACTAATCTAAATAATATAAAATACTCTACGAATTCTTCACCATGTTTTCAATTGAATAAAAATCTACCTCCATCTTTGACTCATACACGTAATCATCATCATCATCATCGAACGAAAAAACATGGTGAAAGTTCAATACGTCGAAAATCGATACTATCAACATCAACTATTAGTAATACATCTCTAGAATCGAAAGGAACAAATCATATTAATAATCAAACTGATGATGATGATGATGATATATTGGATCCATGGGTAAAACATTTTGAATGTTCAATTGACGATAATACTATTGAAAAATCTGAAAGCAACCTTATTAGAACAGGAAGTACTTCTGGAAAAGTTAAATTCAAAAGAGAACCTGATTATATTTAAAGAATAAAAAAAAAAATATTTTATGTTATTTTCTCAGGTTACGATCTCATTTAGATGTAGAGAAAAAAAATTATATCGATCTCCGTTTTTTTTTTTTTTATATCACTTTAATAAACTTGTTTAACTCTATCATTATCCTTGCTAACAAAGTTCATTGTTATTATCATATTACAAATACATCACAGTGCTTTTTTGTTTGTTACATAAATCGACCACTTTGCATTTGTATAGTGTAACATTTGTACATCATAATATTTCTGCTTATTGTTAAATTCTACTATCAAATCAATCAAGATACACCCACTTGCTTGTTATTGTTGTTTGTTTTTTTTTGTTCTATCTTATTTCCATATATATATAAAAAAAGAAGAAAAGACCATGAAGTGTTAAAAAAATATATAAGCTTAGTACTGAGAAGATATTGGAATTATAGTCATTGGTTGATATCAAATGAATTAGATCAATCAACAATAAGAGTAATATATCTTTCATCATGTTTAATGACTTTTTTTGAAATAACAACAAATTTTTCATAGTTTTGAGTAAATAATCTTCAACGTATAGTAAATTAATCTAAAACTATAGAGTACCTTTAAAAACTGCGGATATTACCAAAGCTCAAAAGAAAAAATATCGAGTTCAAAATGAATATCATATGCAGACACGCCATGGTTACCTTGACTTTAATTGTAAAACGATAGTGATAATTACCTTGATATTTGTAAAATATATTCTATAATTAAAAACTAAAGTAATTATAGGAGTATGCGCGTCTAGAAAAATATTATATTCTAAAAAACGCAGGCCGGAATAGGTGTTCGTATAATATGAGTTTCGAACTCTATCGTTCTTTGCAGTTTTGATAGTGCCGTAGTTTTGTACATGTGAAGTATGTGTTAAATAAACATACTATGAAGAAGTACACTCAAATGAGACGTTGTCTATTTTTAAAAATATTTCAACTTAAAATATTAATATTTGGTATATTTCTATGTAAAAAAGATGAAATTGAATAATTTCCATTAAGTAAAAAAAAAAATTTATTGAACTTTTCAATTCAAAATTTATTTTCAAAAAGTTAGATAAAGTGAGATTCAAAAATTTTTGTATAGTTAAATATCATATGGGTCACATTCTTACTGAAAATGAAGTACACAGAATAAAACCTTTTATTTTATATACAAAACAATTCAATTAATTAATTCAGAAAAGTACAACAAAATGTCATAGACAGAAATTATTAACGTATTTATTATCTTAATCTGTCTACAGGAAACATTGTCACTTGAAAAAAAAATCAAGTATGACAGACTAAAGTAAATTAAAAAAAAAGTCATCGGAATTAACCATTTCCTTTATTCACTCTGCTATAAAAGGTAATTTGTTCTTGGTATATAAAAGAAAAAAAAGTCACTTTTTTTTCATAATGTAAAATATTTGACAAGAATTTGTGTATTGATTATCTCATTTTATGAAGCAAACAATAGTCGATAATTTTATCTGATAAAAGTGTCAATAGGTGATTTTATATAAATCATTTTATTTCAATATATATATAGAGAGAATGAAGATAAGTATACCCTTTACTTTTTTAAATATATGAAATATTCTCCAAGACTATACTATTGAAAATTCTTTCAATAATATTCAATACAATTTTAAATTAATATGTCTCTTGAAATTAAACTAATCTTTGATAATCAATTACATTGTTCTTCCCTATTTCGTATTCTACATCAATATAGTCTCTATTAAAAACATCAAATTTGCATTTTTTTCTTTTTTTATCATAAATCACAATCCACGTGTAAATATAACTTTGCCATTTAAACGAGAACCTCTTTCTCTGTATATATATATATACATAATTTTTTTTTGCGATATAGATATACGTATAAAGAAACAAAACTATATTAGCTCACAATGATATAATTTACTTTTCTCATCAACTCTCTATGTTTAATGAGAAATTTCATGAACCGTACATGAGACAACATCATGATTACCATGTAAAGTAAAAACAACAATACTATAGTAAGAGCAATTAATGAATACATATTACATCATCAATATTGCTGTCTTCTATCATCAATAGTGACTATTTTCTTTTTTTAGTTCATCAGTTAACAAATAAAAGCATATAAAACAGTGACAAAACAAAACTCGTTTACATATACATCTGTTCATTTCGTATAACATATATTTATATATATATATATATATATATATATTTATATACGTAGGCAATAAATGGTAGATAAATTGATAGAATCAATGGACGATCATTTGCCAGAAGGATTTTAAGTAAGTATATGATATATCTATCTTTATATCAACAAAAAAAAAAACAATGTTAATGTTATTTTATGACATTTTATGAAAAGAAATTATTTAAAAAAAAATAAACTGATTCATTGAAATACTAAATATGTAATCATACAATAGATTAAATAGGTTTTTTATTTCTTCTTTATTCATGAATACTTTCAAAATACATTCAATAACATTTTTATATATGTGTATCACGACACCTATTCAACTGTCATCACCTGTCTACTTCGCGTCCCAATATTCTCTCTTTTTTTTCGCATCCAAATGTCATTGATTTCTTCTTTTTTTTCTCTCTCTTTCTTTCTTTTTGTCTATTGTAGGTTTGTCACTATTTGACCATTATTGTTGACGAACCAACTATTCCTCCTCCCTCCTTCGTTATTCGTCCTCAAATAATAATCACACACATCTCATAATAACACGATTATCCATGATAGATGGTTTGACCATTGTTCTTCATGCATGCATAGATACATATATCAACGTATAGATCATTTCGTTGTTCTCATTTTCTTTTTTTACACAATCATTATCATTAAAGTTTCTCTCGCCATATTTCGTATCCTTACTATTCTAATTAATTTACCATCAATGTTCAATTTATCAAGCAAAAAAAGAAATACACGATAGAAAAGAATAGAAGAAAAAGAAATGATTAACCAGTTATCATTTCTTCTTTCATGACCTGTATGTATTTCTGATTGTATACAACAACTTATAGACGAACAAAGATATGGAACATCACAAAGCACTGACTTCTGACCTAACAGCGATTAATTCAAATAACAATAACAATTCTCATTATCATCATCATCATCGACAGAAAAAAGAAATAACAAAACAACAGCCGTTAAGATCATTAGCATTATCAAAAAAAAGACAAGTTAAATGTGTATCCATCGCTAATCCCAATATTGATCAAGAAAATATTTCGGTAAATATTCAACGCCGTCAACAACGAATATCAATGAAACATTCATTATCATGGAAAAAAAGATGGTCTACATGGTTTTCTTCATGCAGTACAGAACGAACAGCTTATGTTAAATGTAATCCAATAACAGTATCAATTGAGGTAAGATGTTATTTACTTTTCTTGTGTATTCTTAATAACTATACCTGCTGTCTATAAGTGATCGATTGTCTAATACAACACCTCTCCTTCTTTTCAATCACCAATCATCAAAATTTTTGTTTTTTCTACACTTATATATACAATCTATTGTCTGAAGGACGTGATTGAGTACGAATAAAAGAATAACAATACTCCTATGCATGTCAAATGATCTGACAATGTCCGATCAATGAATAATAATAAAAGAAAATGATAAAAATTCCAATTTTACAATCAATACTATTAATAATATAGAATTTAATATTAATATTCAAACTAAATAAGGTCGACTGTGACGACCTATATATATATATATATTCATTAATTAGTCTTTCAACACTTTTCATATTGATATGATGACAAGTAAGGATAAGAAAAAAAAAGGAAACGGAAAAAAATATTATGTTGACATATTATAAATATGAGATCGACTGATATAAATCCTATTTATTTCGATTAAATCATAGAAGTATATTATATAGAGTTTAATCTTTCAATTATACATTTATAATTCTATTTATTTAATAACTAAAATATCCTTTTTTTTTGGTGTTACTATTAAAAAATTGTTGAGAGTTGATCTACTGTCACTTATTTCAAAATAGTCGTTTTATAGGTTATCTTTATTGATATATGAAAAGTTTTAAAGCTTCACTAAATAATGAAAGAAAACAAGTACAACATACTTCAAATTAATTAAAAATATGATAATTAGTCTTTTACTTATTTATTACAAGGACACACATACACACACATGTTTCATTTGATCTATTATATAATACGTTTGTTTCTCATTAAATCTCGCTTATTACGTCTATGTCGAGAAAAACTCATTTATCTATTTCTAATTTACATAATATTAAAAAAAAATTGATAGATGACCATTTTTCTAATTTATTGTATTCGATTTTATTTTATTGCTTTATATGTTATAAAGTCATCGATTATTTTTTTTAAATATAAATAGTATAAGTATGTAAATGAGACAACGAAGTCTATGAAATATATAAAGAAATAATTGTTGATGTTTTTAAACTTGGATATATATGACAGATTCATTGAACATCACGATATAGAAAATCGTTTATATATTCACACGCGTGATTGCATGCCTCATTCTACTACTTATTCATTATTTTCTTGTATTTTTCAAGAATCCAATTGTCTTTAATGAAATCATCATGAACATAATGAGAAAATATTATTATTGACCAAATAGAAATCTATGTAAAAAGAATGTATCTATTTGTATAACTAAGTGCCTCTTCATGTTTCATTTAATACAATGTAACATAATGTATATTTATTAACTAATAATAATTCAAGTTCTGTTGTTTGTCTTTTTCTTTTTTGAATAAAGACATAGAATTATGTAGTGCATGTGTATAATAATAGAAACATTTTTTTTTTATACAAAATCAAATAGATTGATTAATTAAAAAATTATAGTGTACATGCACATTTCTATTTCATCATCATTATATATTGATCGGAAATAATACTCAGTCACACACTTTTTCTGTTTTTTCTCTTGTATAAAGAATAATAAAAAGAA